CCCAGCGGGTCACCCCGCGTGCCCCGCAGGCCACGGAGCCAAGGCTGCGGAGCAGCGCGCACCTCCGTGGGGGCCCCCGCCACGCCCCCCCACCACCCGTGGACTCCTGGGCCAGGCCCCGCACTGGGGGAACAGCCGAGCCTTTGGGGCACCCAGGGAGCAAGACAGGTCGGGGTGACCTGGGGTGCTGGGCAGCCAGGACTCTTCCCTGGGGAAGGCAGGACCTGAAAGGGTGGCTTTCCCCATGCAGAGGCCAGGCGAGGGGAGCCGTGTGGGCCCAAGTCTGCACAGCCGGTGAAGTGTGCGTATGCTGTGTGTATTCGTGTGCATGCGTGTGCACGTATGCGGGTATTTTTCCTGGTGGGCGGAGGGGCAGACACAGCCTTTCGCATGGACACTGAGCCACGCCTCACCCTTCTCCAGCTGGGGCATCCCTGCAGCCCGCCCCCATGCCAGGCCAAGCCTGGCCGATCCTCACTGGTGACCGGACCGGTCAGTGTCACAGCTCGGGACCGGCTGGGCTGCGCCCCCTGCTGGCAGCACCCGAGAATGTCCGGGCCAACCCTCGGCCGAGGAGGCTGTGCCACCAAGGACGTCTTCCTTCCCAGGCAGAGAAGCTGAGGCACGTGTGCCGGACTTCCCCACACTCGCACGGCCGGCTCTGCGCCTTTGCTTTGAGCTAGTTCAGCTCCATCACCGCCGTGTGCCTCAGTGTCTCCACTGTTCACTCTGAGGCTCAGACCCATCCCCATTTACCCAGGCGAGGCCAGAGGCCAGAGTTGGCACCTAAGGAGCGCTGGCATTAACAGCCATCTCCAGGCCCGGCAGTACTTCCTCTGCAGCCTCTCCTGGAGCCTGCAGGTCTCCCTCCTCCCTTCCCACCCCCTCCCTCCTCATCACCACCCTGCTCCTCTGGCTGGGGGGGGGGCGCCCCCCTGCCAGATAATCAGATTATCGGGTCTCGAATAATCTATTCCATATGGCCTGCCAGCTCGGTGGCTCCTAGGGCTGAAGGTGTGAGGGACAGAGGTGAGGCTCCGGGTGGGTGGGAGCCTCCGTGCTGGGCCTTGGGGTGCGCCGAGATCGGCCACAGTGGTGGGCTGGGGCTGGAGGGTCTGCAGGGGAGGGGGGCAGGACTTCTAACCCCCACAGGGCCCGCTCCCCAGCCTCATCGCCCCAGGATTCTGACCCATCCGGCCCGGAGTGGGGCTGGGACTCCATCTCCGATGTGAAGCAAGGCCTGTCTGTGTTGGGCCCTCACTCAGGGGCCACTGGCTCTGTCTCCAAAGGCGACGAGAGGTGGAAGGAGGCAGGACGCGGGGTTGTGGGGGAGCTCTCGTCTGCTGAGTGGGGTGAGGGCACCGTGGCGGGCGCCCACCCGCCCGGCCCGGCGTGTGAGCCCACGGGATCGCAGTGTACCTACACCCCCCAGCACCAAGGCAGAGGTGGGTGGGCTGGAGGAATGGCACGGGTGTGGCAGGGCGGGGCGGGGGCTGGGGTCCGACATGCTGGAGGGCTGGTGTGGAGTTGTGCCAGATCGTCCCTGGCAGTTGGGACACCCAAATTTGGGGTGTCCTGATGCTAAGCTGGCTGACGGGCTCGGGCAGGCAGGGGTAGCGTTTCCATAGCAACTCTGATTAGCACCCCCGTTGTCAGAAGGGAAATGAAATATGGGGCACAGAGGGGGTGCAGTGCCCAGGACACAGCTTGGCTGGAGGAGGCCAGGAAGCCTCCTGGGCCTAGTAGCAGGCCGAGGCAGGGTCAGAGCCTGAAGGGGCGCGCTCCGTGCCCCCCAGGCCAAGGCCTGAACTCTCACCCCTGCCCTGGTGGGGCTGCCCAGAGGCCTCATTTCCCAGCCTTGCGAGTTACAGGTTGCCCAGAGGGTGGGCTGGGGGGGGGTGGGGGGGGGAAGTAGGGGGGCAGGAGCCCTGGGCTCTGGCACTTGTCAAAACACAGGCCTGAGGTGTGAAGACCACGGCCCAGCTGGCGGGCCTGAGGCCTGCAGAAGTCATTAACTCAGGCGCTCCCTGCTCCCCGCGAGCCGCTGGAGGGGCAGGCGGGGTGAGATCAAAGCGGAGGAGAGGGAGAGGGAGAGGGCCTGGCAGCACTGGGCCCAGAGGCCCGGGGCAGCCGCTGACAGAGCGCCACAGAGGCCTCAGGCCTCCTCAGCCTCCAGGGCTCTGGATCCTGGGAATGGGGTCGGAGGAGGAGAGCCCTCCCTCCCACCCTCCTCCCACAGGCTGGCTATGTGGGAGTGTGCACTCCCTCCCTCCCTGACTCAGAATTACCTGAACCCACTCCCCGCCCCCCCCAGCATCACTGGAAAGGCCCATTTCCTGGGGTCTGAGCCACAGGCAGGCGGCCCGCCATTCCAGGTGGAGAGAGCGGACTGTGCTGCCGGCTCCGGGCCAGGTGGGGTGAACCTCAGGACCCCACCCCCACCTCAGAGGAGGGGCAGTGCCCCGCATGGCTGCGTGCGGCTGCAGAGGAGGGGGCATGACAGAGGACAAGGCCAGAGGAGGGTGGGGGCAACGGAGCCCAAGGAACCAGGTACCAAGGTGCTTAACATTCACTGCCACAGAGAACAGCCCCTTCCCTCCCGCCTCGCTCTGTAGCTATCAATCAACCTATCATCCATCAATCTATATCATCTATTAACCTATATTATCTATCACCTATCATTATCTATCATCTATCTATATCATCTATTGTCTATATCTATCTGTATCTATCAGCTTCATTATATCTATCTATATCATTTATCATCTATCTATGTCTATCATCTGTCTATATCAGCTGTCTATATCAATCATCTATTATCTGTATCTATTATCTATCTATATCTATCATCTATCTATATCTATCATCTGTCATCTATCTATATCTGTGCGTGCTAGCCAGTACTGGGGCTTGAATTCAGGGCCTTGCACTCTTGCTTGGCTTTTGTTTTGCTCTCAAAGGCACACACTATCACTTGAGCCACAGCTCCACTTCCAGTTATTTGATGGTTAATTTGAGATAAGAGTCTCACACAGACTGTCCTGCCTAGGCTGGCTTTGAACTGAGATGCAGGAGATCTCCGCTTCCTGAGTAGCTAGAATGACAGGTGTGAGCCACTAGCCACACAGCTCTAGGCTCATTTTTTTTTTTTTGGTCCGGTGGTGGGGCCTGAACTCTGGGCCTGGGCGCTGTCCCTCAGCTCTTCAGCTCAAGGCGAGCGCTCTACCACTTGAGCCACAGCGCCACTTCCGGTTTTCTGGTGGTTTATTGGAGATAGGAGTCTCACGGTCTCTCCTGCCCGGGCTGGCTTTGAACCGCGATCCTCAGATCTCAGCCTCCTGAGTAGCTAGGATTACAGGCGTGAGCCACCAGCGCCCGGCTCCTAGGTTCATTTTTAAAACTACCTCAGGGACTTCCAGACCGGGGGCTGGAAGGTGCCCACGTGTGTGAGCAGGGCCCGCCCCATGCTGGAAGGGGCTGGGCAGCGGAGAGAGAGAGGGCAGAGAGGGGTCCGGCGCCGAGCCCTCCCGGTGCGTGCGATACTTCCGCTGCCGCGGCCTGTCCTGCGCCTCAGCCCCCACCGAAGCGCCTCCAGGACCTAAGGGGGATGAAGTGGGAAGTCTTTCTCTGGTGGGAGTCCACCCAGTTTAGAAAATCTGTTTGCACAGCAAAGGCCCGGAGGCTTAGGCTGGGGAATTAAGGTTATTAGCAAGTCTCTTCATAGATAGCGGCTGCAGCCAGCCCCTCCCTGGCAGGCCTCTTCTGCCTGGAAGAGAGTGGCCACTGTGGATGAATATCTGGGTGTGAATTTTCATTAACACATCCCTGCTAATAGCCGGGAGAGTCAGGATTGGGGGTGGAAGGGGTCACCTCCTGCTGGAAGCCCCTCCTCTCCTAGTCTGGCCAGGGGTCCGCTGACTGCCAGCCCCTCATCCTGACCTGTGCTGGTGCCCACCACGGGACTGGCGGCTTAGGACGGGAAGTTTGGGAAGCTGCTGCAGGCAGTGTTGGTGCTGCCACCCTGGTGTGACTCCAGAGTCTGGGTGCTTAACCCCTGGTGTGCTGGCTCAGCTCAAGATTATGGGGCCCGGGACTCTGGGGAGCCCCAGGCCCCGCTGGGAAGGGGGCCGGCTGGGGGAGAACAGGGGTGGGGGAGGGAGGAGGTGGAGGAGAAGACAGAAAAGGGCAGGGAAGAGGAGGGGAGGGGGAGGGGGGTTGTCCAGGGCCGCTGGCAGTCCGTGTGGCACAGGGGGGGAGGCAGCCGTGGCAGAGCCCTGACCGCAGCCCTCCACGGGCGCCCTTCCTGCAGTTCTCCACGTGGCCACGCGGCGGCGTCCTCGGGGAGCGCTGGGCCGCTGTCCTGGTCGGGCTGCTGGCCACTAGCCGCTGTCCCGGGCCAGGCCGCTCTGGAAAGCGCGGTTTCCAGGTTTCCAGAGCCCCGGCCTCCGCGTCCCTTACAGCCTCCCCCTCCCCGGTGGCCGTGGGCACCTTGCCCTTGTGCGCCCCAGGCCTCTCCTCCCTGCCCTGCCACCTCTCTTCCCCCTCCCAGGGCTGAGAGCCCCTGCATGGCTGTGGGGTGCAGGGGATGCGGGTGGGGGGGGGGTCTTGGCGGTCTCAGGCGTGCTGACCTGGGCCCCGGGTAAGGGGGGGGGGGGGACAAGCACCTTGCAGTCTGGATCAGCACTGCCGTTTATGTATTTTTTGGGTCCGGTAGAGGGCCTGAACTCTGGGCCTGGGCGCTGTCCCTCAGCTCTTCAGCTCAAGGCTAGCGCTCTACCACTTGAGCCACAGCACCACTTCTGGCTTCTTTTCTGCTTATGTGGTGCTGAGGAATCGAACCCAGGGCCTCAGTCATGCAAGGCAAGCACTCTACCACTGAGCCACCTTCCCAGCCCAGCACTGCCGTTTATTTGGGTGGCGTCTGCCGCGGGGGGCGCCTGTGGCCTGTCCTGGAGGCCGAGGGGCCGGGCCCCGCCATGTCCACCCGCCCTCCCCGCGGCTTCCTGTCTCCTGTGGGTCCTGTCCCTCGGGGCGGCCGCCCAGGCCCAGGCCGGTCACCGCTTCACTTCTTCAGGTTCTCTCTGTGGAGCAGCAGGGAGAACCTCCGCAGCCGGCCCCACTGCTCCTGGCTCTTCTGGATCTGGAAGCTGCAGCGGATCAACGGGGGGGGGGGGGGGGTGAGCGGCGTCCCTCCCCCAGGACAAGGCTGCACCCCTGCGCCGCGGGGCGGGGGAAGCATGGGGGTGAGCAGCGAGCGGCGTCCCTCCCCCCAGGACAAGGCTGCACCCCTGCGCCGCGGGGCGGGGGAAGCATGGGGGGTGAGTGGCGTCCCCCCCCAGGACAAGGCTGCACCCCTGCGCCGCGGGGCGGGGGTGAGCAGCGAGCGGTGTCCCCCCCCAGGACAAGGCTGCACCCCTGCGCCGTGGGGCGGGGGAAGCATGGGGGGTGAGCGGCGTCCCTCCCCCCAGGACAAGGCTGCACCCCTGCGCCGCGGGGCCACGCGCCAAGTGGGTCTCACATCAGTGTCCACGCAGACTGCCTGTCCCCGCGAGTGCAGAGCCGGGCTGCTAGCAGGTGTGGGGGGGTCTGGCAGTGGGCTGTGGGGTGCGGGCTGTCCCCCTGCCCCCCCGTTTCTGCCCTGGGTGCCCAGGTGGCATCAGAGCAACAAGAGGGCCACTTGGTGGTGGTGGTTTGAATCCGGAGCGGAGTCTCCCACTCGCTAGGCAGGTGCTTTAATGCTGAGCCATGTTTCCAGCCCTCTTCTGCGCTGGCCGTTTTAAGATGGGACTTCACTTTTTGCCTAGGACCAGGCCTGGACCGCAGTCCCACCCTTCCCGCTGTAGTGGGGAGCCGGCGTGTGCCGCTGTGCGCGGTTGCTCAAGAGGGACATGTTTCAGGAGCAAGACGACGCTGGCACCGCTGGCTTTGCTCTGAGGCTCTCGCCTCTCTGTCCCTCTTAGCTCAGATCCTCATTTTCTGTTTCCAAGAGCTTCTTACATAGTCTTTTGTATTACACACACACATACACAAACACACACACACAGAGTCACAGTCTGGGCTAGAACTCAGGGCTTGGGCGCTGTCCCAGAGACTAAAAAATGCTAAGACAAAAAGGCTGGGGCACAGCTTAGTCAGAGCACCTACCTAGCAAGTATGAGACCCCAAGTTCAAGCCCTCGTACCAAATGATGCCAATGAAAGTGTGCGACATACTGCGTGCACACTTATTTTCTCACTTAGAATCTTTCAGGAAACAGCCAGTGCACGGCCATGGCCCCTCGCTAAGCGGGTAGAGACAGGTGAGCTGCAGGTTCAAGGCCAGCCTGGGCTGAGTTATGACTCAAAACACAAAGACAAGGGCTGGGAAGGCGGCTCAGTGGTAGAGCGCTTGCCTTGCATGCCTGAGGCCCTGGGTTCCATTCCTCAGCACCACATAAGAAGAAAAAGCTGGAAGTGGTGCTGTGGCTCAAGTGGTAGAGCGCTAGCCTTGAGCTGAAGAGCTGAGGGACAGCGCCCAGGCCCAGATCTGGTTCAGGCCCCACGACTGGACCCCCCAAAAAAAACCCCAAAAAACAAAAACACAAAGACAAAACAAACCCACAGGAATGGACTCTGGAGTCCCTGTGGGGCATGCTCGGGTCGGCCTTGCTCCTCTGTCCCATTTCTCGGGGGTGCAGGGCTGTGGGGCACATGTGGGTGCGGGAGCTGGGCTGGAACCTCAGAACCTGTGTCTCCCCGGGTCCTCGGAACTCATCGGGGGCTGGCAGAGATGGGGAGAGCCGCGCAGGTGGGGCCGGGCGGTGCCAGGCAGGCAGCTGGCCGCCGGCCGCTGTGGATCCTGGCAGAGGCGGCGTGGGCGTCGGCGGGCGGCGGGGCAGCGGTTTGGCACACGCGGCAGGTTGGAAACCACGTGTTGCCACACAGCTTCACCGCTCACCCAGTTTTAGAGGCAGTGGAGGCAACTTGGGGCACAGGAGGGGACGGGAAGCCGCGGGGAGGCTCAGCGTGGAGAGGCAAGCTATTGGGGCATGCGTGCTGCTGATGCGGGTCCTGTGCACGACACGACACGGCTTCCCGCCCGCAGCGGGGTGTTTGCGAAATGACAGGCCGAGAGGGGGGATGGGGTGGGGGCTAGGGGGGAGTCCCAGATGTTAAGCCTCAGAGTGGGGAGAACAAGAACCAAGTGTTTTCCCAACCAGAAATGGCTCAGCAGTGCTGACTCGGCCTCTTCCCCACCGAGGCCATGGGGAGGCAGGGGAGGCAGGGAGGCAGGGGAGGGAGGGAGGCAGGGAGGGAGGGAGGCAGGGAGGCAGGGGAGGGAGGGAGGCAGGGAGGGAGGGAGGCAGGGAGGGAGGCAGGGAGGGAGGGAGGCAGGGGAGGCAGGGAGGGAGGCAGGGGAGGGAGGGAGGCAGGGAGGCAGGGAGGGAGGGAGGCAGGGAGGGAGGGAGGCAGGGAGGCAGGGGAGGGAGGGAGGCAGGGAGGGAGGGAGGCAGGGGAGGGAGGGAGGGAGGGAGGGAGGCAGGGAGGGAGGGAGGCAGGGAGGGAGGGAGGCAGGGGAGGCAGGGAGGGAGGCAGGGGAGGCAGGGAGGGAGGGAGGGAGGCAGGGAGGGAGGGAGGCGGGGGAGGCAGGGAGGGAGAGAGGCAGGGGAGGGAGGGAGGCAGAGAGGGAGGGAGGGAGGGAGGCAGGGAGGGAGGGAGGCAGGGGAGGCAGGGGGGGAGGCAGGGAGGGAGGCAGGGGAGGCAGGGAGGGAGGGAGGCAGGGAGGGAGGCAGGGAGGGAGGGAGGCAGGGAGGCGGGGGAGGCAGGGAGGGAGAGAGGCAGGGGAGGGAGGGAGGCAGGGAGGGAGGGAGGCAGGGAGGCAGGGCAGCTGCTAGGCTGAGGGAGGGGGCGGGGGGGGGCAGGAGGTCAAGGCAGACAGGACGCTTTTCTCAGGAGCCGACCTCACGGAGGGGTGAAGTAAGTTCTGGAAGGCCTTCCCTCAGAATATCACACGGTCAGGAGGGGGCGTTCACAGGGACCGCGGGTGTCCCCTTTCGCTGCGGGGGCTGTGGAACCTCCCTGCCCCTCTGCCTCCAGGCCCTGGGGCCAGTCCGGCCCTGCCACGTGACCCCTGCACCCTGTGCTGCGCCACCTCGCCCGTCACTCATGGACGGAGACCCCCGAACCCCCAAACCCGGCTTCCCAGAGCCGCAGGCCCCGGCCCTCCTACAGACCCGCCTGGCTGCTTCCCACCGCCCATTTCACCTGACGGCAGGTGGACCGCACGCACGCACGCGGGCTGTCCACGCGGAAGCCACACGCCACTGCGCCACGTGCCCGCCTTGCCCTGACCTGGGCCCAGGACTGGGCTGTGGACAGCACTGGAGCTGGGCCCTAGCCTCCACTGTGCCAAGGCTTCACACCTGTCAAGTACACACACCGGCCGACGCGCCTGCCCCTAGCCTCCAGCCCTTAAGTGTTTCCTCTCTCTGTCCTCCCGCCTCTGTCTACGGATACTTTCCTGAGCCATTGACAGCAGCGCCCGCATCCGGAGAGCGGGGCGAGGGTCAGAACCCTCTCCGTAGGGAATAGCCGGGCAGCGGTGGTGCGCTGCTGGTCAAAGCGGTGTCCCCCGTCCCTCCCTCAAGACTCGTGGAGGGGCTGCTGTCCCCGGCACTTCCGGCAGGGACACGCATGGTTGCATGGTCGTGCCTGCCAGGTTTTGAGAAGTCACGCTGTGCTCGGCGCTCCCTGTGTGGTGTGATTTCATACCCACAGCCCGAGTAATCAGGCACGTGAAAAGTGTCCAGGCCAGACGCTGGAGGCTCACGCCTGTACGCCTAGCAACTCAGGAGACAGAGGTCTGAGGATCAAGGTTCAAAGCCAGTCCATGCAGACAAATCAGGGAAACTCTTATCTCCAACTACCCAGCAAAAAGCTGGAGATGGGGTGTGTGTGGCTCAAGTGGTAGAGCACCAGCCTTGAGTGAGAAAGCCAACCAAAGGCAAGGCCCTGAGTTCAAGCCCCAGTGCTGGCACACCTGTGCACACACACACACACATATCCAGTGCTGGCACACCTGCGCACACACACACACACACACACACATCCAGTGCTGGCACACCTGTGCACACACACACACACATCCAGTGCTGGCACACCTGCGCACACACACACATCCAGTGCTGGCACACCTGCGCACACACACACACACATCCAGTGCTGGCACACCTGTGCACACACACACATCCAGTGCTGGCACACCTGCGCGCACACACACACACATCCAGTGCTGGCACACCTGCACGCACACACACACACATCCAGTGCTGGCACACCTATGCACACACACACATCCAGTGCTGGCGCACACACACACACACATCCAGTGCTGGCACACCTATGCACACACACACACACATCCAGTGCTGGCGCACACACACACACATCCAGTGCTGGCACACCTGTGCACACACACACACATCTAGTGCTGGCACACCTGTGCACACACACACACACATCCAGAACGCAGCCTGCTGAGGAAGAAAGCAGGCTCTGCCAGGCCAGGCAGCGCATGCCAGGTATTTTTTTTTTTTTTTGGTTGGTCGTGGGGCCTGAACTCTGGGCCTGGGCACTGTCCCTCCGCTCTTCAGCTCAAAGCTAGGACCCTACCATTTGAGCTACAGCACCACTTCTGGCTTTTTTCTGCTTATGTGGTGCTGAGGAATCGAACCCAGGGCCTCGTGCATGCAAGCGCTCTACCACTGAGCCACCTTCCCACCCATCATGCCAGGTTTTGAACCAGGTCTGGGGGGGGGCGGGGTCAGCCTTCACCTGCTCTGGAGCAGGTGCTCACAGATCGTCTCCAGAGGCTGTGCCTGCGGGATGGCCTTGCTGTAGGCCAGGTCCTTCTGCGAGATGGCGTTGTTCTTGCACATGTCTTGCAGGGGCGGATAGGTCTCAAAGTTAAACCAGAAGATGGAGTTGGGGACTTCCTTGCTGTCGTCCGTGGGTTTGGTGTGTCTGCGCGGGTAGCCTCCTGGAGGAGGTGAGGTTCTGCATCATTGCCTCCTCCGTGGTTGCTGGGGTTCTGGGGGAGCCCCCAGGTGCCCCGCCCCCCCGTACCGTGGAGCAGGAAATACGGGTGTTGTGAGGACACGGCAAACATGGGCTTCCAGGGGAAGGGCAGCTCATGGCTCACGGGGGGCACGAAGGCACAGAGGACCTGGGCCTTGCCCACGTCCATGAGGTTCACAGAGCCGTTCTTGGTGAACAGCAGCACCTAGGGAGCAAAGTGGTGGTGGGTAGGGCCTCCGGACTCCCCCCCCCCCTCCCTCCCCCCCCCCCCCCCCCCCCGCCGAAAGCCCAGGGTAGCCTGAGTGGCCGTTTGGGTCACCATCTGCTGTCCACGGCCCAGCTCGAGGGCCCGGCCTCTGCTCCCCACAGCAGGGAAGGCGGTGCCAAGGCACAGGGCCCCCCGCCCCCCCCGCCCTCCCCCTCCAGTCCTTGTGATCACCATGCTGTGTGAATCAGGATGGCCTCCTGTTTGCCCCTTGGATTTCTGGGAGTTCTGCAGGTTCTAGCCTCGCCCTGTGCCCCACGGCCCCCCCTGCTCCTCCGGGACCTCCCTGCCCCCCCCCAAACCGTCCTCTCATTCCGCCGCAGGACACAGCCAGAGCCTCACCACAGCCCCAGACGAACTTCTCTGCACCCAAAAGCCAGTCCGTCCAGCACATAGCAGGCTGTCAACAGGTATTTTGGGAGGGAAAGGTGGCGGTACTCACAGGACAGAAAAGCAAGGCGGGAACCTACCATGCCAGGCAGGGTTGGGACGGGCGCCACCGCGCACACTGCTTCTTCTGGGTGCGCCTCAGTCCTGCAGGACACAAAGCACACAAGCAGCTCCTGCTTAAAAGGTTTCACACTTTCGGCCTCCTCTTCTAGGCCTCTGCCCCGGGAAACCTCCGCGTGCAGCAGGAGGTAAAACCTAGAACCGCCCACATTCCACTGCAGGGGATGCTTCGTGAAAGCCACATGGAAGCCTGCGCCAAGCACCGTGCTGCATGCCTGCCCTTGGACAGCTGAGGCCGGCTTGTGAGTTCAAGGCCAGCCTGGGCTGCATAGCAAGACCCCCTCCTCGGCAGGTGCGTTTTGACCGCGTGGATGCAGGCCACCATGGGTTTGCTCTGCCCACCGGAGCCTGCGCGTGGCCGGGAGCCCTGGTGCTCGGCGAGGCCATCGGAAGGGGCATGTTTGACCAGGAAACGCTGTCCGCAGACCTGCTCAGGAGCTCGGTGCTGCTGGGGCACTGCGCCCCGTCCGCTGTCACCAGGTGCAGGGAGCTGTTGGTGCACAGCACCACGCACTTCATGCATGACTTCACTGTGCCCTCGGGGAACAGGCTCTGCCCTTGGTGGACCACGAAGTACCGCAGGAAGTGAATGCTTTCGCACAGACTTTCCTCAGGAAGTGCCACGACCCCCAGGGGGAATCCTGGAGAGAGGAAACCCACGTGTGGATGGGGACAGGCTGTGTGTGCGTGTGTGTGTCTGTGTGCGCGCGTGTGTGTGTGCGTGTGTCTGTGTGTGTGTCTGTGTGTGTGTGCGTGTGTCTGTGTGTGTGCGTGCGCATGCGTGTGGTGCGTGTCTTGGTGGGGCAGGAGGGGTTGGCTCACCCTCAGACATGTCCCAGATCGTGAGCACACCATCCGCACAGGCCAGCACCAGGTAGGAGCAGGAGGGGCTGAGCTGGGACACGGTGATGGGCGCCGCGCAGGGCCACACCCCCTCGGGGTCTGGGGGGTAGAGGGGAGTGTCAGCCCCCTCCCCGCAGACCCCCTCCTGCACCGCACTCTCCGCCTCTCCCCCTCTGGCGGTCCAAGGGCCTTTCCAACATGGTGTCGCGTCAGTGTCTGAACTGGGGCTTGAACTCAGGGCCTGGGCGCTGTCACTTAGCTCTTCCACTCAAAGCTGGTGCTCTACTACTTGAGCCGCAGCTCTCTCCTTTTGGCCTCTTGGTAGCTTAGAGATCAGAGTCCCACGGACTTTACTGCCCAGGCTGGGTTTGAACTGTGATCCTCGGATCTCAGCTTCCTGAGTAGCTAGGATGATAGGCGTGAGCACCGGTGCCCTAGGAGGTTTCTATTTCTGGATTTTGCTAGTCACAGGAAACTCACTTTAGAGCTCAGCGCCGCGCAGTTAACCGGCTCTGATGCAGGCTAGGAGGCACCACCCCTGAATCTAGGCCACCCTCTGCCTCAGCTTCCCTGCCGTGGGGTCCCCGTGGCCTACGTCTGATCTGCCCAGGGGCTGCCCCTTGCGGCGGCTCCTCAGCCAGGGAGCACCCCACTTCTGCCTGCACAGCTGTGGTGTCCTCGTGTGAGCTGAGCACGCCAGGCGCCCAGGGAGGACCTTACCCTTCATCACTCGGTTCAGGGAGTAGAGGAAGAAGTTGTGGCTGCCGGTCCAGTGCACGCCGAGGACGCAGGCTGCTCCTGGGGTGGACGGGAGGCCAGGCCGGGTAAGCCGGGAAGCCTCTGTGTGTGCTTCCCCACCGTGGCTCCTGCACTGGCTTCCGGCCGGGAGAATGGGAGCAAGTGGGCTTGGCTGCTTTCCTGTCATCTTGGCATTTGTGTCTTCTCAGTCGCTGGGGTTTGTGTGTGCGTGTGCATGTGCGTGCATATGTGCCTCTGTGTATGTGTGTGTACTAGGGCTGTGTGTAGGGCTGTGTATGTGTATGTGTGTGTACTAGGGCTGTGTATGTGTATGTACTAGGGCTGTGTGTATATGTGTAGGGCTGTGTATGTGTGTGTACTAGGGCTTGAACTCAGGGACTCCTGCTCTTGTTTGGCTTTGCAGCTCAAGGCTAGCACTCCTCCACCTGAACCACACCTCCACTCTGGCCTGTGGGTTATTTTTTTTGGGGGGGGAGGGGTCCAGTCATGGGCCTGAACTCTGGGCCTGGGCGCTGTCCCTCAGCTCTTCAGCTCAAGGCTAGCGCTCTACCACTTGAGTCACAGCGCCACTTCTGGCTTTTTTTCTTTTTGCTTATGTGGTGCTGGGGAATCAAACCCAGGGCCTCATGCATGCAAGGCAGATGCTCTACCACTGAGCCGCCTTCCCAGCCCTGGCCTGTGGGGTTTTTAGCTGGGGTTTGCTGGCCTTGTGGCCCGATCCCATGGAACCCTTAGGCTCTGTCCCCCCCAACCTCTCCCCCCCCCCCCGCCAGCTTGCCACATGCCACATGGACAGGAGTGCACTCACCCGGGGGGCCCTTGACTTCTCCGGGCATCAGCGTGATGCAGCTGGGGAGCAGGAAGTGGAACATGGCTGAGCTGTGGGGGAGACGGTGTCAGGGCGGGGCTCGTGCTGGCTGGCGGGGGGAGGGGGGGCATCTGCCAGGCCGGCTCACCTGAACGGCTCCTCCACATCCTGGTCAGGGTCCAGGTACTTCTTGTAGGAGGAGTAGAAGATGTCCGCGTGCTGCTCCCACTGGCTCTCCCGGATGAAGTGGTTCTGCCCCGAGCCCAGCCCGTACCAGTCTTCCATTTTGCTAAACACTTCCAGGGGGCTTTTAAATGTGGTGCCTTGGTTGAAAAGATGCCAGGATGCAGCCCCGCGCCACGCAGGCAGCCCCTCCCTCCTGCTTTCTGTCTTGGGGATCTCTGAGGAGGGCTCAGGGGTCCGTGCCTCTGTCTCCATCCACTCAGGGCCCACACCTGCCGTCAGATGCCTCTTGCAGCCCTTCCCAGCACCCGCGCCGTTCCATTTGGCAGCCTTGGTCTCTCCCAGTGTTGGTATGCACTGCATCCCCTGCCTTTAAAAACCCTTCTCTTGCCGGGTATAGTCATAGCTACTCAGGAGCTGAGGTCTGAGGATGGCAGTTCAAAGCCAGCTAAGGCAGAAAAGTCCCCAAAGACGCTCTCATCTTTTTTCTTCCTTTTGGTGTGGGGCTTGAACTTTGGGCCTGGGCGCTGTCCCTCAGCTCTTCAACTCAAGGCCAGCGTTCTACCACTTGAGCCACAGCACCACTTCCAGTTTTCTGATGTTTCATTGGAGATAAAAAGTCTCACAGACTTTTCTGCCCAGGCTGGTCTTGAACCGAGATCCTCAGATCTCAACTTTCTGAGTAGCTAGGATGACAGGTGTGGGCCACTGGCACCCAGCTAAGAGACAATAATCTCCAGTTAGCCACTCAGAAACTGGAAGTGGTAGGGCTGGGAAGGTGGTAGAGGCTTGTCTTGCATGCCTGAGGCCCTGGGTTCGATTCCTCAGCACCACATAAGCAAAAAGAAAAAAAAAAGCTGGAAGTGATGCTGTGGCTCAAGTGGTAGAGCCTTGAGCTGAAGAGCTGAGGGACAGCGCCCAGGCCCAGATTTCAGGCCCCACGACTGGACCAAAAAAAAAAACAAAACAGAAGTGGTGCTATAGCTCAAGTGGTAGAGTACTAGCATTGAGCACAAATGGGCTCAAGGACAGTACTCAGGCCCCGAGTTCAAGCCCCACAACAGACAAAGAAAGAAAGAAGGAAGGAAAGCAAGCAAGCAAGCAAGCTTCCTCTTAAGATAGGAAGTGGTGGCTCATGCCTGTGGTCCTAGCTACTCAGGAGGCCAAGATCCAATCACAGTTCAAAGCCAGCCCAAACAGAAGAGTCTGTGAAACTCCATCTCCAAAATGAAGTGGAGACATGGCTCAAGTGGTAGTGTGGCAGTCTTGGACAGAAAAGCCAAGCAAGAAGATGAGGCTCTGAATTCAAGCTGAAGAACCAGCTCCACAAGCCCACGGCTCCCTTTCCCAATCTGTAAGGCTGCTAGCATCCTGCCCATGCCCACATTTTCCTGTTTTTAGGTCCTGGAAGCTTACGAATTTAAAATTTAAATTCGGTTATGAATTTAAAATAGCTTCTCGCCGGGCGCTGGTGGCTGACACCTGTAATCCTAGCTACTCAGGAGGCTGAGATCTGAGGATCGCGGTTCAGGAGAGACCGTGAGACTCCTATCTCCCAATAAACCACCAGAAAACCGGAAGTGGCGCTGTAGCTCAAGTGGTAGAGTGCTCGCCTTGAGCTAAAGAGCTGAGGGACAGCGCCCAGGCCCAGAGTTCAAGCCCCACGGCTGACAAAAAAAAAAAATTAAAATTAAATAGCTTCTACTTTAGAAGTATGCATTGCATCTATTGCCGTCATAAATAGAAAAGGTGGGAATGTGAACGGCTGAGGAGGGGAAGTGGAGCCGGAGATGGCTGTGTCAGGGGGTCCTCTGACCTGACACGGGCTTGGGCGGCTTGATCTTCATAAGGTAGGACGGATAGGTCAGCTTAATATCTCCGCGGAAGTTGATGGACCCATCCTGCTAAGGAGAAGGCACAGCCGGTAGGCCCGGGAGCCATCTTGGAGAAACCCCGGCCCTCAGCCAGAGAGCAAGTGCTACAAGAGGGGACCGAGGGTGAGGACAGGACGGCGGCGCTCTCAGGTCAGGCCCCTGACTCGGGGTGAGTGACACTTCTCGGGTGGGAACACACAGGTGAAGACAGAGGACGGGTCCCCAGTGCAAATTCAAGTCAAAACCAGAACCTTTAAAGTGCACCTCTAGCCATGCTGGAGATCTTCCTTAAAGTTTCTTACCAATGTGTCCAAGTTTTCTGAAGGAACGTTGTCAAGCGTGTTCTGAGGAGGGAAGAGAGGGGTTAATTCCCAGCAGGTTTGCCGAGGAGCCCTCCTGCCCCCTCCGCCATTGCTCCTGGGGTGGGGGTGGGGGTGGGGGGTGGATACGTGCGGGGTGGGGGGGGGGGCCGGGGGAATGGCAGTGTTTCCTACCAAGGGTTTGACTTTTTTCTTTGAATTCAGGTTGGACTGTGGGTACTCCGTCTCCTTGAACCACATGTCCTTGGGCAGTCTGTACACTTCCAGCCAAAGCTCCCCAGCCCCTGCTACGGGAACAAAGGGCCATTGAGCAAGTGCAGCGGCCTTTGGCTGGGGAAGGCCCTTTGCTTGGAACTGCAGCCTGGCCGGGAGACTGGGAGATGGGCTCCGCCGCGCGGCCCCCGGGGCAGCAACTGGATTGGGCTGGAGGGGCAGCCATTTCATAATGGTTTTTGCAAGTTCCACTCTCAAAATAACTTTCCCAGGAAGAGCTGTCGGTCCCCTCCAGCCGCCCTCTGCAAGGAGTCAGGGCTTCGCCCGGGCAGCACCCGCTCCATGCTGAGAGCTGTCCCTGTCTGCAGAGCAAGCGGGGAGGGCCAGGGAAGGAGGGGCTGGACTGGCTGTGGCCACCATTTTGTCATCCACAGGCTCAACTTCAATAGGAAGCCTGCCAAGCTAGGGAGGTGGCTCATTGGCTAATGCCTGTAATCCCTGCTACTTGGGGGCTAAAATTGTGAGCCCCAAGTTCTTAACACCCTCCCCATCTTAACCAATAAAGAGCTGGGCATGAGCTAGGTGCTAGTGGCTCACATCTGTCATTCTAGCTACTCAGGAGGCTGAGATCTGAGGATCGTAGTTCAAAGCCAGCCTGGGCAGGAAAGTCTGTGAGACTCTTTTTTTTTGTCGGTCGTGGGGCTTGAACTCTGGACCTGGGCGCTGTCCCTCAGCTCTTCAGCTCAAGGCAAGCGCTCTACCACTTGAGCTACAGCGCCACTTCCAGTTTTCTGGTGGTTTATTGGAGATAGGAGTCTCACGGTCTCTCCTGCCCGGGCTGGCTTTGAACTGCGATCCTCAGATCTCAGCCTCCTGAGGAGCTAGGATTACAGGCGTGAGCCACCAGCGCCCGGCGTCTGTGAGACTCTTATCTCCAATGAACCACCAGAAAACCAAAGTGGTGCTGTGGCTCAAGTGGTAGCTGAGTAGCTCAGGGACAGTGCCCAGGCTCAGAGTTCAGGCCCTACCACCAAGGGAAGAAAGAAAAAAAAAAAGCTGGGCATGGTGAGTTTGCCTGTCAGCCCAGCTGTGAGGAAACCCAAACAAGAGGATCTTGATCCAGTGCAGCCCCAGGCAAAAAATCTACATGGTTACGTATGACACACGCAGGACAGTCAGTGGGGGCTGGGGAAGTCTGGCCGGCGATCGGCAGCCAGCAGCCGCGCTACTGGGTGGTACTGTGCCAGTGTCATTTGCACCCTGGTCGTGTTCCTCGGTGCGGGCCTGGGAGAGCTGGCGGAAGGACCCAGGAGAGTTGGGTTCTCTCCCTGCGTCTCTTCCCTAGGTGTAAAGTGATCTCCAGGAGTGGATGCAGACGAGGCCTTGCCTTGCAGGAGGATGGCCATGAAGTCGCCGCCTTTGGAGATCTCCACGTGGAGGCAGGTGTTCTGCTTGCTGCTCTCCTCCTGCCGGGAGAGGCACAGCCTGGTCACGGGAGGCAGAGTCCCCGCCCCCAGGACAGGGACGCATGCTTCCCACTTCTTGGCCCTGGGCAGCGGGGGCAGGAGCAGGGCAACATGCTTTTCAGGCCTAGTTCCTGGTGATCTGGGCCCAGGTGTGGGAATCTCCCGGCTAGGTTGGCAAACCCAGAAATCTGTGCTGACGTTTGGTTATTCAGATGATTGAAGTAAGCTCTAATATGTCACCAAATAATCAGCTGGTTGCTGCATGAAAGGCGAGATACAAGCGTGGCCTGAATCCTCAGATTGGGGGCAAGCTGGGATGGGCTCAGGATGCTCACACACTACCTTTAAGGGGCGTGAAGATGACCAGTGAAATAAGGAGCCTGGACTAGTTAGGTTGATAAGCTCCTTAATGAAGGATTAATTCCTTTGTGATCTTTATTGCTTTTTGCTGTTCTGGTAATTGGTTGATCCCAGTGCTTCAAGCTGGCTAAGCAAGCCACACCCCAGGTCTTTCCTTTCCTTTCCTTTGTGTGTGAGTGTGTGTGTGCACACGCGCGTGTGCGCGTGCGGTACTGAGGTTTGAACTCAGGGCCTCTAGCTCTTGCTTGGCCTTTTTTTAAACTCAAGACTAGTGTTACACCACTTGAACCACATCTCCATTTCCAGCTTTGTGCTGGTTAGTTGGAGATAAGAGTCTCACAGGTTTTTCTGCTCAGGCTGGTTTGGAATGTTCCAGAGATATCTGTCACATCTGACTAAACTGTCATCTAGTTCTGAAGTTTCTTTTCTTTTCTTTTTTTGGGGTCCAGTCGTGGGGCCTGAACTCTGGGCCTGGGCGCTGTCCCTCAGCTCTTCAGCTCAAGGCTAGCGCTCTACCACTTGAGCCACAGCACCACTTCTGACTTTTTTTTTGCTTATGTGGTGCAGAGGAATTGAACCCAGAGCCTCATGCATGTAAGGCAAGCGCTCTACCACTGAGCCACCTTCCCAGCCATCCCCCACTATTTCTGTGCTGGGGTCTAGCAGTGCTTGTACGTCCAGAAATGTTTGTCTGGTGAACTTGGATGTGTTAACATTTGGTGTGGGTACTTCTTCTTCATTAACTTCTCCCTTTATCTGAAGTCACCTTCTTCTAAAAGCAAAAAGAACAGGAACTTACTGCTTCGTTGATGGCTTTGATGTGGTAAAGAGAGTCCTTATAAAAGTAAAACAGTCTAAGGACGCCTGAAACAGAGACACAGGCGGGGGTGTAAGCCGGGGCCACTGCCCACCCGCCTGCTCCCTCCTCCACGCCGCCCCTCCTCCAGCCTCACCTGCAGCCCAGGCTGCCCCCCCCCCCCGTCCCCTCTGCTGGCCTAAGACTACTGCACCCCCCACATGCCTCCAGGGCGCACATCTGCCACCCCAAAGCACCCCTTCATTCCACACCCGTGCTGGGGCTTCAGTTGTTTCTGCTTCTCCCTGTGCTGAGCCGAGCTCCTCCTGCCAGCTCAGTCTCTGAGCTCACCTCAGCCAGGAGGCTCCTTCTGCCTGGAGCTCTGCCCACTCAACCACTCCAGCATTCCGCTTCCCGCCCCATCCCAGCGTGCCGTACCCACACACTGCAATTTAGCGCCAGACATCTTGGCAGCCAAGACAGAGAGCTCATAAAGGCACCTGGCTCTCTGTGGGGGAACTCATCAGTCTAATTGGACCTGATGAAGGTCCGTGGGGCCCCTGCTCCATGCCAGGGGAGGACGCCGCCGATTCCTCATCGTGAGGGCTGGCGTGTGCAAAACAAGCCCTTTCTCTAGACCTACTCCTGCCACAGGGCATCAGCATTCCCACAGAGACAGCCTCCGGCCTAAAGTCCACACGCACTCCACTGCAGTTCTCACCAAGCAACGTGGCTGTCATCTCCAGTGATGCCAGGCCGGGGAGGGGCAGGGAACCCCCTTTCTCTGCACCCCACTCATGCCATTCGTCACCCACTAAGTCTTTTTATTGTATTTTCCTTTCGCTTATTTGTTGTTCTTGTTGTTGTTGCTGTTGGTCCGGGGGCTTGAACTCAGAGCCTGGGTCCTGGATCTGAGCTTTTTCACCCAAGGCTAGCACTCTACCACTTTGAGCCACAGCGCCACTTCTGGTTTTCTGGTGGTTCATTGGAGGTAAAAGTCTCATGGACTTTCCTACTTCGGCTGGCTTCCAGTGGCAAGCCTGAAGATCTCAGCTTCCTGAGTAGTGAGGATTATAGGCATGAGCCACTGGTGCCAGGTTTTTATTAAGCTTATTTTGAATTTACACTTACAGGAAAGTTGTATGAAGGTAGCACTCCAAAAATTCCTTTGTGCTGCCTGCCAGTGACTTATACCTGTAAATGTAACTACTCAGGATGCTGAGAGCTAAGAATCAGGTTCAAAGCCAGCTCTGGCAAACAAATCCAAGAGATTTTGCTTTTTAATCTCCAGTTAGCCAGCAAAAAATTCCCTAAGAGGAAGTATGGCTCAAGTAGCAGGGCACCAACCTTGAGCTAAAAAGCCAAGCAAAAGTGCAAGGCCTTGAGTTCAAGCCCCGGTAGTGGCATAAACAAACAGGCTAACATGAAACAGGGGCGTCGTGCCTGGCATGTCATACTCGTGCTGTCTAATTCTGGAGCCTGCCTCTACCTGGAGGGAGAAGATACTGAACACCAGCCCACAGATCCCTGCAGATCAGGCTAACAAGGGAAATCAAAAGGACAAATACCCGTTTCATCCACTGAAGCAATAAGTATTTCACTCCCCAGATCTGCAGCCCAGATGGCAGTGACATCAGCCTTAAGTTTCTCCCAGAGGTATATCCGTTTAGCATTGGACAGGTGGTAGATGGAGAAGCCCTTAGTTCCACCGATGAACAGATAGTCTTGGGAAATAGCCATGCAAGTGGACATTCTGTTGAGCTGGGAAAACAAAATCAAAGAAGAGAAAAGAAAAAAAATTATTCTTGGCTGTCTTCAAGTATGAGGAGCTCATGCTCCAAAGAGGGTCCAGGGCTCTTCCTAGAGAGAGCACCCCCACACTGATGGTGTCTCACTTTGAGCTGGAAGAGGCTAGAGGAAGTGATGTACATTTCCAAGACGAAACAGGACCACAGGCCCCAGCTCCGCTCACCTAGGACCCGTGGGAGCAGCAGCAGCTGAGGTTCTGACAGATTCTCCACCATGGAGCAAGACAATTGTATGCCTACATTAAGGTAGGTTTTCGATATCTCTAGCTGAGTGGGAAAGCACTCCTATATAATTTTCAATTAGCTAGAACACCTTATTTCCCCAGGAAACTACTAGATCAGTTTTCTTCAACCACAGCATTCCTACAATAGCTCAGACATGCACCAGTCTTATTAAATGAAGGTTTCCGGCTGGGAATGTGGCTTAGTAGTAGAGTGCTTGCCTAGCATGTATGAAGCTCTGGGTTCGATTCTTCAGTACCACATAAATAGGAAAAAAAAAAGCCTGTAGTGGCACTGTGGTCCAAGTAGTAGAGTGCTAACTTTGAGCAAAAGAACCTCAGGGACAGTGCCCAGGCCCTGAGTTCAAGTCCAGAACTGGAAAAAAATAAAATGAAGGTTTCTGGCTGGAATTCTTCCCCTGGTTTTCTTATCTATCATTGACACTCAGGGGAGAGTGCACCGCCCCCCCCCCCCCCACCTCCCTGGTGTGTACCTTACCTGGATTTCCTCCTGCGGAGGATACACAGTAGGCCTGACCCGGTTGAGTTCAGCTTCCCTCACGGCTTCCCTCTCTTCAATAACTTCCCATATCTGATCAAACAGGAGGTTCAGCACCTTGTTGATCATCCGGTATGGCTGTGGCAGGGAATCCAGACCCTGATCTGGGTCAAGGAAGGTGTAATCCTTCTCATCGTCCTTATGCCAGTCCTTCTCTGTTGGGGGTGGAACCTCCTGCGGCCCCTTTCTTATGAAATTAGGGAGTCTTGTCTTCTGAGCCTGACCTCCCTTGGAGGACATCGCAGAGGTGGCCCTGGGAGCTTCTGCTCGCCCACGAGAAGCTGAGCACAAAGGAAGCAACGGAAATGAAGCAGGCACAGAGCGAGTCCTACAAGGACTATTTGTTCCAGAGACTGGTGTACTTGATCACAGTCCTAGAACATGACAGATAGGTCAACCCAAGGTGAGATGTGCTGTGAAGGAGGAGTGGAATTTAGAATCGTGTTGCTTTTTTTTTTTTTGGTGGGGCTTGAACTCTGAGCCTTGAGCTCTTGCTTAACACCTGTCATCCAGGCCGGCCCTCTACCACTTGAGCCACACTTCTACTTCCAGCTTTTTGGTGGTTAATTTGAGAGAAGTGTCTCAGGAAGAACAACAGACGTGCACGTGTGGCCCGAGCAGTCTGACCAGCCATGAGCTCCTAGGAAAGAGCCAGGCGAGAGTGCAAGGCCCTGAGTTCAAGTCCCTGGACCAGCACAAAAGAAATAAAAGGAAAAAAAATTTCCAAAAAGTGAGCTGGGCCTCCCAGGTCATTGTTGAAGGCACATTCACCAGGCGGGCGCACAGAGCCTGGTTTATCGAGTAACTTCTGACTTTTAAACATTTGAACATCCAACATAGCGGACTGGGGCCCCACGCCACACCTCCAGACCTGTCAGGGGCAGGCGGATCTGACCCAGGGGCCCTTACTTTGTGGTCTGCGCCTCGAGTGGGCCGACGCTCGCTGCCCTCTTCCTCCATCCTTCGTGGAGTGTTCAGTAACCCTAAGACTCCACCAGAGCGGGCCTAGCTCCAGGGCAGGGACCCCCCCACCATGTCCTCAGCAAAGGCCCGGGGGTCTCGGGCTGGGGAGCCCGGCCGAGGTTCCCTTCGGCGTTCCCCCGTACTCGGGATCCCCGGGGCCTCCGGCTGGAGGGGGACGGCCCCTCACATTCTCTGGAGACCTGGAGACCATCAGGAGTCTGACGGCCTTGAGGGCAGGAGACAGACGTCCGGCTCACCTGCTCTGCCGGCAGCGTGGCGTCGCCTTGGTAACCACAACTTCCGGTTCCGACCGGAAGCCCGCGAAGCGCTCGGCGAGAGACGCGTCCTCTCGTGGGCGGAGCCCAGTCCCTGCTCTCCTGGAGGAGGTGGGCGTGTCCCCTCGGTGGGCGGAGTCTCGGGCCCGCCCTCCTGGGGAGGTGGGCGTGTCCCCTCAGTGGGCGGAGTCTCGGGCCCGCCCACTTGCGCTGAGGGTGCCCCGCCCTCCTGGGGAGGTGGGCGTGCCCCTCCCGTGGGCGGAGTCCCGGGCCCGCCCTCCTGGGGAGGTGGGCGTGCCCCTCCCGTGGGCGGAGTCTCGGGCCCGCCCTCCTGGGGAGGTGGGCGTGCCCCTCCCGTGGGCGGAGTCCCGGGCCCGTGGGCTCCGCCCTCCAGGGATCCGCGGCTCCCCACAGGACCCGCGGGGAGCCGGAGCGACGCGAGGGCCGGGCCCGGGCGCCATGGACGCCTTCACGCGCTTCACTAACCAGACCCAGGGCCGGGACCGACTTTTCAGGTGAGTCCGGCGCCGGGGTTCTCGGCCGGCGCCCCGCCCCGCCCTGGACTCGGCCGGCGGAGGAGGAGGTCGCCGCGGGGAAAGCCGGGCCGCGCGCCGCCGCGCCGGGGGGCCGCGGGTGTCCGCGGGGCGGGCCGCGTGGGGGGCCCGGGTCCCCCCGCCGCGCTCCCGCCGCCGCCCCAGCGGCGCGGGAGGCTGAGCTCGGAGGATCGCGGCTCCGAGCCCGCCCAGCGGGAAAGTTCGAGGCAGATGCCGCAGGAGGAGCTGCGGCGCCAGGGGTCGAGCCTTGAGCCGAGGAAGAAGAGAAGACGGAGCTCACGCGCAGCGCCCAGGCCCCGAGTTCAAGTCCCCGGACTGGCAAAAACAGAAAAGCGCCTTCCGCCCCCCACTCTTACCCGGCGGGTGCCGGGCCCCGGAGCACTCTGAAGCTACAGCCCAGGGAGTCGCAGGCGTGGCCGCAACCCACCGGGCCGAGGGACACTGCAGCGCCGCTGCTGATGCTTCTTGTGACACTTCGATTCCTGCCCAATAGTCCTTTACACCGAGCCACTGTGGCGGTTTTCCTGAATAACTCTCTCTTTTCTGGGTCTGCAGATGCTAACACAAACCCACCAGTGAGAATCGTCCCAGTAAAGAGACTCTGGGGAGCTGGGCAGGTGGCGCAGTGGTAGAGTGTCCTTGCCTAGCATGTGAGCAGCCCTGGGTTCGATTCCTCAGTACCACATACACAGAAAAAGCTGGAAGTGGCGCTGTGGCTCACGTGGTAGAGCGCTCGCCTTGAGCTGAAGAGCTCCGGGATTGTGCCCAGGCCCAGAGTTCAAGCCCTATGACCGACCAAAAAAAAAAGAAAAAGAGAAAGACTCTGGGGTGCCAACATTGCAGTGTTTTGCAACTCTTAAGTAACTCTCAGGAGTAGAGATTTAAATCTTTCACAGGTAGGAGATGGTGTAGTAGATGTACTAAGTGGTCAAGTGAGATAGAAATGCACACCATTGATTCCAGTGCTCACCTCTCAATGACTAAGGCGGACTGCTGTTCTCACGGACGCCATGGGCTCTCCTAAACAGTTGTGTTCTGTTCAGGCTTTATTAAAATCAAAACCTATCACTTTATTGTGCCTACATTGTATCCTGCAAGTCTAGCTTATCAAGGAGGACGGTGGTTAGAATAATCATTTCCACTATACTTAGCAAAGTCTGAGATCTCCAGCAACTCCTACTCCTCTGAACGCTCTGTAGACACTCATGAACAGCCTGGTGGCCCTCCAATAAGGCCTTGTTTTCAGGCCTACTCCTGAGACCAATCTGAGAAAGGAAGCTGTATTGTCATGAGCCTTCAAATCAGAAAACACTTACAAAAGAGACCTGGTGACTCTTGCTTATAATCCTAGCTACTCAGGAGGCTGAGATCTGAGGATCATGGTTCAGAGCCAGCCTGGGCAGGAAAAGTCCATGAGACTCTTATCTCCAATTAACCACCAGGAAACCGGAAGTGGTGCTGTGGCTCAGAGCGGTAGAGCACTAGCCTTGAGTGAAAAAAGAGCTCAGGGACTGTGCCCAGTTCAAGTTCCACGACTGACAAAAAAAAAAAAAAGAGAGAGAGAGAGAGAACTGCACCTGAGGTGTGGCTCAAGTGGTAAAGTGCTTGAGATTCAAACCCCGGTAAAGAGAGCAAAGACCAGAAGAGAAAACCCCTATTTCTCCCTCTCCCTTTCCTTTCCCTCCAGAACCCAGGCTTCCACATTCAAGGTGTGGGCTCTACGGTTGAGACACACGCATAGCCATGTTCCCTTTGCATTTAATTTCCAAAAGCTACTTCACCATTTTGGAGAATGGGCCTTGTTTTTATTGAGGATAATATTTAGGCTAGGAAGGTGGCTCAGTGGTAGAGTGCTTGCCTTGCATGCATGAGGCCCTGGGTTCAATTCCTTAGCACCACATAAGCAGAAATAACCAGAAGTGGCACTGTAGTTCAAATGGTAGAGCACTAACCTTGAGCTGAAGGGCTGAGGGACAGCGCCCAGGCCCAGAGTTCAGGCCCCAGGACCAAAATAATAACATTATTATTATTATATCAAGCTGGGCACCAGTGGCTCACACCTGTAATCCTAGCTACTCAGGAGGCTGAGATCTGAGGATCAAGGTTCAAAGCCAGCCCCAGCAGGAATGTCTGTGAGACTCCAGTCTCCAATTAACCACCAGAAAACTGGAAGTTCGCTGTGGCTCAACTGGTAGAGTGCTAGCCTTGAGCTGAAGAGCTGAGGGACAGTTCTCCAGGCCCAGAGTTCAAGCCCCACAACCACCCAAAAAAAAAAATACATATATACCATATTGGGTCTCAAAGGCAGTTACGGAACACTAGGAACCAGCACCTCCTTTTATGATGCGGAGTTTTAGATGTATTCGGATGTTTGACTGAGAACTTTCTCATTTCTCATTGTGATAACTTTCTCATTTATCAAATTTATCACTAAATCATTGTCACTTGCAGGCTTGACAATAACTGCTTGATTGAAGATTTTATTAAACAGTGTTCCTCCTAGACTTCATATGTATAAGATGCATGTGTACTCATTTGCATCCTGGTGAATAGTTGGCCCTTTTGATTTCTTGGTTTTGTGTTAAGACGGTCATCTAGGTTGGTCCAGAACTCGCTCTGTCACCCTGTCTGGCCTCAAACTCTTGAGCCTCCTGGCTCTGTTTCCTGAGTTGGTGGGATTACAGGTATACAACCAGCTTATTGGTCCTTTAGCTTTAGACACTGAAGTACTATTCCAACCATGGACTGTTGGTTGGTTTCTGCTCATGGGTTAGCTATGGGATAGACAAGTTCACGTGGAACTCTAAAACACCTTCTGGGCTGGAAGTTTGCGCTTTTGGCTGCCTGCTGCCCAGTGCCTTGTTGCAGGGTTCTTTCCCAACGCTGGGTTGCATGGCGCTGGAGCTCGCCCCTGGGTCCCTGGGGAGCGATGACTTCTGCTCCTGTAAGGGCAGCGGCCCCACAGCGTGTGGGATGCACCCGCGCCCTCTCCCTTCCTCCATGAATCGCTTTTTTTTGTTTGTTTTTTTGTTTTGTGGTTTATGGGGCTTGAACTCAGGGCTGGGCGCTGCCCCTGAGCTCTTTCACTCAAGGCGAGTGCTCTACTACTTTGAGCCACAGTGCCACTTCCAGCTTTCTGGTAGTTAATTGGAGATAAAGGGGTCTCATGGACATTCCTGCCTGGGATGGCTTTGAACCTTGATCCTCAGATCTTAGTCTTCCAGGTCTCTTTTAAAGTGTGTTTTCTGGTTAGAGGGCTCATGACAATATAGCCTCCTTTCTCAGATGAGTCTCAGAACAGGAGTTGGCCCAAAAACAAGTCTGGTGTGCAATTCATGTTCCTCATTTGTGTTTCCATTTCAGAGCCACTCAGTACACATGCATGTTGCTTAGATATTTGTTAGAGTCTAAAGCTGGCAGTGAGAAGCTGGTAATGAAGCTCAAGAAATTGGAGTCCAGTGTGAGCTCTGGTCGCAAGTGTAAGTACCTCGACTCCTGAGTTAGAGCCCTCAGCCCCAGC